CTCTTCGTGATATCGCTGCTGTTACTTATGTTTCTTTCTGTCATTTTTACGTTTGTGTTATCATTTCTTAACTTGGCAATTTTGCTCATTCGTTTTTCTTTTCAAGGGTATAAATCACCATATCTCATTGTTACTGATTGTTAGTATTGGGACCAATGGAAATAAGAAAGTATGATAGCCTAAAGAGAGCAGGGCACAGAAGTGATGAATAAATTGGACAGTAGCCCAGTGTAAGAGATTAAAAATACGAAAGTAGAATGGGGTAGAGTTTAGAAAAATCTGGTGATGGTGAAACCCCTTTCAATTTGGAATATGTAATAGGAATATCTGGATTATTTTGTGCCTTCTCATCATTAGTCAGTAGGTTCTTAGTTTCCTTTTGAGGAGAACAGGTTTATAACCTAATTCTAAGAAAATTTAGAAACCTTTTTTGTAAGTTAACAAGTATGTTTGTGGAACAAGTTGTAGCAGATGCCTCCTTTCTTGGATGCCTCAGGTAAAGAATGAAGACAGATCTGAAATTATGTCATCAGTGAACAAAGGAAGATGTGATGATTCACTAAGTGTAAGTAGGTAGCAAACCTGGTGCCAGGGTTATCCCTCCCACAATATCAGGGTGAGAAGATCAGCTTACCAAGCTGGTTACAAGTTCACCTCCATTGCTGTGGATCTGCGGGACACCGCTATGTTGGGATATCATAGCATTCGATGACTGTTTCATGGTCACCATTACAGAGAGGAGCTTTCAATTCCAAGTTTATTAACTGAATTGATGAGTGCAGCTCCAACAACATATGACAAACTTAACATCATACAGGACAGAGCAGTGGGCTAGATTGCACCCACCCCCATCCATCAGCTTCAATATTTGATCACTCTACCACCATCAGACCAGCGGCAGCTGTGCATACCATTTAGAAGGTGAAATGCTGCAATACACCAAGGCTTCTTCAAGAACACCTTCCGAACCTGTGACCCCTGACCTCTACAATGTCGAAGGACGAGGACAGCAGATACATGAAGCACCACCACCTGCAAGTTCCGCTCCAAGCCACCCGCTGTCCTGACTTGGAAATATACCATCTTTCCCTCAGTGTCGCTGGATCAAAGTCCGAGAATTCCCTCCCCAAGGGCATTGTGGGTCAATCTACAGCACATGGACTACAGTGGTTCAAGAAGGCAACTCATCACCACCTTCTACAGGGCAACTAGGGACAGGCAATAAATGCTGACCTAGCCAGCGGCACCTGTGCCCCACGGGAGGATTGGAAAAAAGAAGTCATGCACTGTTCTGACTCTGAAACAGAATTGCTTTTTCTTCACTGCTGCTCACTCAGTCTTGGAATTCTCTTCCTAACAGCATGGTCGTTGTATCTATCTACATCTACCCTACGTGCACTGCAATTCATCAATAAGATGGCTCACCGCCACCTCCTTGAAGGCAATTAGGGATGGACAATAAATGGTGGCCTATCCAGTGATGCCCATGTTCATGAGCAAATTTTATAAAGAAATGAAAGGACCCAGCTGCTGTTGTGGGATTTGAATCTGTACCCAGAGCTGGAGCAGGGGTCTTTGGATTCCTAGTTCAGTTATATTACCACTGCACCACCCCATAATTTTTGTTGTAATTGTTGAATGCTGAGACCAGTGGTTCAGAACAAGTCTAAGCAAGTTTTTCCCAAGGTATCAAGGTCATCAGTTATTGCAATCATTTGATTATCCCAGAACTTCCAAGGTACTGGGTAATTTGAGAGCCAGCGGTTAGTAGAAAGGGATGATGTAGGTGAAATATGCCAGTAAATGGAATGTCGGAAGGATTTTCTTCTCAGCGATAATGCAAACATGAACAAAGAGAGTGAGATGTAGATGGAGAGTGAGAAATTGTAGCCTCATTGTGGTGTACGTGGCACAAGAATTTGGATGTCTGCTGTACTACAGTGCTAAACACAGACTCCACATGAAATCAAATTCTAATTAAAGATTTGCATTAATCTAGCAATCATTTGATTTTGAAGTGCTTTGTAGCTAATGAAACACTTTTTTGAAGCGAACTCACAGTTGTAATGTAGAATGCAGAATAAGAGGTTTTTGAGGTGGTCGGCAAATCAAATTTTAATATTATTTATTACTGTCATATGCACTGAGGTACAGTGAAAAGTATTGTGTTATGTGCTTTACAGGCAGATCGTACTATACAAGTGCATCAGGGTAACAGAACACAGTGCAGGATACAATGTTACAGCTGCTGAGAAGGTGCAGAGAGGGATCAACATTAACATTTGAAGAGGTCCATTCAAAAGTCTGATAACAGCAAGGAATCATACGTGCCTACAAACTTTTTCTATATCTTCTGCCTGAGGGAAGAGAGTATAACTGGACTGGGAGGGGTCTTTGGTTATGTTGGTTGCTTTCCTGAGGCAGTGGGAAGTATTAATGAGGTCAGTGGATGGGAGAATAGTTTGTGAGATGGACTGGGCTGTGTTCACAACTCTCTGAAAGGAAAACTATAGTCTTGGAAAGAGCAGTTGCCATACCAACTGGTGAGAAGCTGTTGCACTCCTGTTGAACAGATCTGTTGGATTTATGCTATTTTTCACTTCTAGTTAAATATTAAAAGATGTAATGTCACTACTGGTATGAACAGCTGACAGCTTGTCGTGTTGGCAAATCATGCATTTTTATCGATGACCGAGTTAAAATCTAATTAAGACATGTCTTGTGGTTGGTTCTTTTATCCATTTTCTTTCTTAAGTGCACCTATAACCAGGTCCAAAAGCACCTCACTGAATTGTATTGCTTTGTGATGCGCTTGAGTGCATATTGAATATGGGAATTGGGAGGTCATGTTGCAGCTGCACAGAACATTGGTTAGGCCACTTTTGGAGTACTGGCCACTTTTGGAGTACTGTCCATTTCTGGTCTTCCTCCTATAGGAGAGATGCTATTGAAACCTGAAAGGGCTGAGAAAAGAATTACAAAGATGTCGCCAGGTTGGAGGAGTTGAGATAATAGGAAGAGGCTGAATAGACTGAGGCCATTTTCCCTGGAGTGTCAGAGGCTGAGGGGTGACCTTTATAAGAGGCTTATAAAATCATGAGGGGCTTGGATAGGATGAATAGTCAGGGTTTTTTCCCCAGGATAGGGGAGTCCAAAACTAGAGGGCATAGGTTTGAGGTGGGAGGGGAAAGATTTAAAAGGGACCTGAGGGGCAACTTTATCATGCAGAGGGTGGTGTGTGTATGGAATGAGTGCCAGAGGAAGTGGAGGAGATGGGTACAATTACAACATTTAAAAGGCATCTGGATGGGTATAAGAATAGGAAGGCTTTACAGGGCTATCGGCCAAATGCTGGAAAATGGGACTAGATTTATGCAGGCTATCTGGTTGGCATGGACGAGTTGGCGTGAAGGTCCGTTTCCATGCTGTACATCTCTGACTCTGTGTTGCAGAATATGGCATCCAATTTGTGCACAATAGTTTTCGTTGAGCAGCCAGAGAAATGCATGTCCCACCCAGTAGATCCGTTTAGCAGTTGCCAGTGGAGGATGATTTGATGTGAAGTCCACCTCTGGAACCTGTGCTCTCTGCTATTTTCCAAATAGTATCTTTTTGATGTTTGCTTGAATCCCTGAAACGGGCAAGTCCAATTCCTGTTTAATGCTCCATTCCAAATGGCAGTATTTCTGATTTAATGCAGCTCTTTCTCCGTATCGCAGCCTGGGTAATGCTGCTTTCCCAAGACACTGAGATGATTGGTGAAAGGCGCTATGTTCACTTTTTGCCTGCAGGAGGCAGGAAACCACCGTTTTGACCACAAACCAAAAAGGGTTGGTGAGCTCTGACCACAGACCAAGAAAATCCCCTCTCCCAATAAGATTGGTGAAAGCAGCAGTCTTGGTGTGTCTTGACATTGGTGGGTGAGGAGGGAGTTGAGGTGAAGATCAGTCAGGGTTCCTGCTCTGGCTATTGAGAGTAACACTGCCTGGTTTCGCATTGCAGCGTTCCAGGCTGCCTCTTATGTGAGAAATCACTGGTCTCAACATTGAACATACAACTGTTCTCAAAGCATGAACTCATTTTTCTACCTGGGGGAAAAAAAAAAAGGGGTTCAATTTTCAAGATCTAGTCACTTGTTTCACCCTGAAATGTGTTCTTTACATTTGCTGTGTTATGTAGCTGTACTTATTTAAGGAGAAATATCCAGGTTCAAAGTTTGATGCTCTGCAGGTTGTGATTGTGACTGAGAGGTTGTTCTTGCATCAGGATCCCTATCTTTGCAAGCACCATTTTGGCTTATTCACTTCTAGTTGTAACCTCCTGTGGGTAACATGGATTTCCTACGTTTACTTTTTTCTTTGCTTGGTATATGTCTGCAAGAACTGCAAGCTGTGATGGGAGGTTGGGGTCACTTGTCCCTTTTTAAGCTGTCCTGACCAAAATATGTAGAATCATAGAATCCCCTACGGCGCAGATAGAAGCCATTCGGCCCAGTGAGTCAGCACCACCCCTTCCCCACACCCCACTGTCCGGTGTGAGATACAGGGCTCCTAACAACCTCCTTTAAACTTAATCGTTGAATTGATTCATTTCTGATTCATCGTGGGATACGGGAGTTGCTGGCGTTCAGCATTCCCTAGTTACCTTTAGAAGTGGCAGCGAGCAGCACCCTTGTGCCACTACAGTCCCTATGGTTTATGCCTCTGTGTGCCCATGGTGGAGGGCAGGGTATGATGTTTAAGCTGACAGTGTACCAACTTGAATGAACAGCAGAAGGTAAGATGGAGGCTGCGGTTTTAAATGGCAACTCAGCAACTATTGATGAACTTTCACCCCTGACTCCACAATAGGTAACTTTTTTTTTCCTTTTTGTTTTTTGCTTCCCCACCCCCTTGATTCTGAGAATAACTGCTTTGTACTTTTTCAAACCGGGGAGGGGAGTGGTGATGAGCACATTGACCGCAAAAGAAAAATTACCGTACATGGTTTTGTTGACACAGAATGACCACGAAAGGTTATCGTATTTGTGAGATGACTGACGTTTCCTGTTTGTTTGGTGAGAGCTGATGTCTTCGATATCTGCAGTGTAGGGAATGTATAGTTGTTCGTCTGGAACTGACTGACAGTGGATTCGCTTGCTGCCTGAATCTGTTTCCATCCGCTTTCCATGTGGAGGTGAGTTGACCTGTGTGTAAAGCCATAGGCATGTGAGGCATGGCAGTAATGTAGCACAACGCTCTGGATCTTTCCAGGGATGGAGTGGAATGTTGCCTCTGTGCAGAAGGGAAGAGGACGCAAACTAAACTTGCCCTCCCCCATTCTCCCAGAGAGGAGGAGGCAGTCAAGATATGCCCTGCCCAAGCCCAGGCCTATTTTCCTCTTTACCTTGTGGTAAAGTCGCCATAGTCCTACCAGATAACAGGACTGCTCCCTCATTAGAGAGAGTCGTCTGGTGGTTTAACCGGAGGTTCACCACACCTTAGGCAAGGGGAGAGGTTGTGGAGGAGAGTAGTAATCATGGTAATCTCCAGCTGGTGCGGGAAATGAACACATGCTGTTGGCTTCCCAATATGGCTGTCCAGCCAACTGAACTAACCAACCCCCCCCCCCCCCCCCCCCAGCATCTTTGTATATATGAGTTAGGCTGAAGGCTCTTTCCTGCTCAGATACAGGAGGCGGTGACCGTCCAATGGACAATTCTAGTCACTGCCCTGTAGGAAAGATGTGACTGCACCAGAGGAGATGTACAAGGATGTGGGCGGCATGGTGACCCAGGGGTTCCCGCTGCTGCTTCACAGCGCCAGGGACCCGGGTTCGATTCCAGCCCCGGCTGGTTGTGTCTGTGTGGAGTTTGCACCTTCTCCCAGTGTCTGTGTTGGTTTCCTCCAGGTGCTCCAGTTTCCTCCCACAGTCTGAAGATGTGCAGGTTAGGGTGGATTGGCCGTGGGAAATTGCCCGTGGAGTGAATTGTTTGACTTGGACAGCGACACAGAACATGGCTGATGTGTAAAATATAATGGAAAGGGCAAGCAGTCTTTACACTATGCCCGTGTTATCTGTGAAAACACACAGCAATGTGATTACAGGCTGTTGCTGCAAGATAGAACTGAACCCAACTGCTTTGACCCATATTCGGGCGAACATCATTTGTCGTCTTATGGAGTTTTGGATGTCCTCACAGTCAATGAATTATTTCTGAAGGGCAGTCACACTAACAGCTCCGTGCTTAAAGAACCTGAGGAATCGGTGGTGGGGTTGTTTTAACTGACCTGGTTGACAGGGAGTCCTTGGTTGAGGAGGAAGGTGGACATTTCGGAAGGGCCCCTTGTGGGATCTTGCATAGCCAGCACAGATGATATGGAGAAACTGGGCGAATAGGATAGTCTTTACAGGAATCTGGGAGTGAGGATATATAGTCAAGGTAATTTGTGCATTTTGGGGGGTGGATGGGGATTTGTAGTAGATAATGGTGGCCAGCCTATCCCTAGAAAAGGAAATGGATGCTGAGGAAAGGAGGCATCCAAGATGGACGAGGTGAAGGTGAGAGCGGAAATTGGAGGCTGAAGGCATTGTGGAGTGCTTCCTAATCGGCAATGCACAAAGACCAGACTTGGGCGAATGTGAGAGCTTACGGAAATAGGAAAGGGGAAAGGCCGTGAAGGCATTTAAAACTCGGGATGTGAACTTTGATCTTGGCATGGTCAGACTGGCAGCAGTGTGGGTTGTCAGGCATGGGGACAGTCAGCGAACAGGACATGACGTGAGTGAGTCGGTTCAAGTTTGAAGTGTGGAAAATGAGAGACTTGTCGGAAGCACTGAAGTAGTCAAATCTAAAAGTGAGAGACGTTGTGATGAAAGGTTTTTTTGATAGCTACCGAGTTGGGGTGGGAGTAGAGTCTGAGGTGGAAGTCCCCAGTCATGTTTGCTCGAGCTGATTGGAAACTCTTCTCCAAGTCAGAGCGTGCTGAGATATTACCGATGATCAGGGAGTATGATGGAGTCAGTGACAACCAATCAAGCAAAGTTTGTAATGGGGGCTGAAGACAGCTGCTTGAGTTTCAGTGAGAAGAGGAAAGTGGTGGAGCTCGGTGCTGTAGTGTACACATGCAACCTGCCATGCTCCCAGTTGATGCTGTCGTGGGGCATTGTGTAAATGAGAAACAGGAAGCGGGGGGGTGGAAACAGGGTGGGGTCTCTCAAAAATAATCATGTAGATGAGAAGCTTTTAGAAGTGATTTTTCTTGTTATAACTTTTTAAATACATTTGGTCCTGGGATGTCTGTGTTAGTCCCAGAGACCTAGTGGTTGACAGCACAGCCCTTTGGCCCACTGAGTCTGTGCCAGTCAAGAACCACCACCCAACTGTTCCATTTCTCTTGGTCTAAAACCTTGGAATTGTTAGTGCACATCTAAATACTGAAATGTTATGAGTTTCTGCCTCTGCCATGGTGAGTTCCAGATTCCCATCATCCTCTGGCTGAGAGCGTTTTCCTCATCTCCTCTAAACCTCCTGCCCCTTACCTTCAATCTACATCCCCTGCCCTGGTCAGTGATCCTTCCGTCAAGGGGAGACAGTTTCTCCCTATCTACGCCCCCTCATTAATTTTATACATCTCAGTCATGTTCCCCCTCAGCCTCCTCCGCTCTGAGGGAAACCACTCGAGTTGGTCCATTCTCTTTTGGTAAATAGAACTCTCTCTAGCCCAGGAAACATCCTGGTAGATCTCCGAAACTTTTTAGGTGCCATACTGGCAATGCCAGCATTTGCCCATCCAAACCAAAGGGTAATGAACTGCCTTGTAGAACCACTGCCAGTGCCACTGACAATGATATAGAATCATAAAAACCCTTTGTGCAGGTGGGGGCTATTCAGCTCACCATGTCTACACCAACTCTCCGAAGGGTATTCCACCCAGATCCACACCCTCCACCTTCTCCCCATACCCTGCATTTAGCATGGCCAATCCACCCTAACCTGCACACCTTTGGACTGCAGGAGGAAACTGGAGCACCTGGTAGAAACTGTGGCAGACACAGGGAGAATGTGTCTGTCTGTGTGGAGTTTGCACAGTCACCCGAAGGTGGAATCGAACCCAGGTCCCAGGCGCTGTGAGGCAACAGTACTATCCACTGAGCCACCGTTCCAATCCAGGATAGATGGGACAGAAACGGACATGAATGTCAGCCCAGAATCTGTGCTTGATTTCCTAAAATGCCTTCCCAAAGAAGCTGCCTCTCTCCAGATTGATTAGACTGTATGGGTTGGGGGTGGTTGTTCTCAGAATTGAGAGGAATTTGAGATGGCTGATTAAATGTGGCAACCACAAGGTGGGAACAGGTTGATTCAATGTGATACTGGCATCGTGAAAGTTCACGGGATCCTGACAACAATTGTGACTGTGTGTTTACATCAGAGTTCATTCCTGCTGTTTATTGTGATTCTTCTTTTCCCCCCTTGATTTACAGTGATCAGATCTGATGCAGAATCTGAAGTGGACGTTGTCAGTATGGCGAGTCGTGATGGGGACCCTAGTGCCAACCTGCTTGTGTGTCTCGCTAGTAACCGTCTGGTTACCTCTGGTTACCAGGAATGGATTTGCCAAGGCCTTGAAGATTGAGAGTTTAGGGTGGGACCCTGGGTTGGACAATAAGGGGGCACATGCGAATGAAGCTACCCGAGGCAGGACCCAGCTGTCGGATGCAGGAGGGGGCACCTTGACATGGGCCGTGTACCTGACCCCTGCAGTGGAAGTGAGTGGCCAGGAGGTGGGGTCGTTGGGTGAACTTGCAAACGAGCTGGCCCAGGCCATGGGTCTTGAGAACTGGGGTCAGATTGGAGAGCTGTCTGGCCACTACCTCTTTGCTCTCCCGCTACATGTACGAAGCCGCCGGGATCTCAAGGAGACTGAGAGGATTCGGAAATCCATTGAGGCAGCGTTTGCTGGGCATCACCGTGTCCGCTGGCACGCTGAGCAGAAACTACTGAAACGCTCCAAGCGCAGCCTGCATTTCAATGACCCACAGTACCCTCTCCAGTGGCATCTGGTAAGTGATATCTTTACTCCTGCAGTGTATGAGCCCAATATAATTCAGTCTGTGAACGTATCCAGTGATGTAGTAATGGATCCCTCTGAACAGTGAGGCCTCCATTTTGTTGTCCTCTTTGGTAAAATCATGAAAGAGCATCTCAATCTCAATCAGGGTTTTTCTTTTTTTATTATTATTGGATGTGAGTGTCACTGGAGACGTTGCTCTCCATCCCTAATTACCATTGAACTCTGGCTTTTTCAGAGGGCATTTGCTGGGTCTGACCTGTTGGTGGGACAGGAATCCGCCAAGGATGGTGATGGGACCTTGCTTGTAAAGTATGAAAGTATGACTATGTCAGGCTGTTGACTCATCTGTGAGGTAATTTCCCCAATTTTTTTTCTTTGGAACTACCTCCCAGATGTTATAGGAAAGATATTATTAAACTGGAGAGGGTTCAGAAAGAATTTACCAGGACTTGAGGGTTTGAGTTACAAGGAGAGGCTGGGACTTTTTACACTCAACCATAGGAGGTTGAGGGGCTGAGCTTAGAGGTTTATAAAATCATGAAAGGCACAGATAAAGTGACTAGCAAAAGGTCTTTTCCATAGGGTGGGGTGTTAAAGACTAGGGAGCATAAGGTTTCAGGTGAGAAGAGGAAGATTTTTTTTAAAAGGACCTGAGAAGCAACTTTTTTTTAACAGCGTGGTTTGTGTGTCAAATGAACTGCTAGAGGAAGTGGTGGATGCAAGAAAAGTTACAATGTTGAAAAGACATTTGGATAAGTACATGAATAGGAAAGGTTTCGCAGGATATGTGCTAAATGCAGGCAAGTGGGACTAGTTTAGTTTGGGAACATGGTCAACGTGGACTAGATGGACCGAAGGGTCTGTTTCTGTGCTGTATGATAGTTAGTCAGGAGGATTTTGCAAGGGTGAACAGAGCTGTTGTTACTGGCACCTTGGTCAATATTGGATGGTCCATCTGGTTTCATTCCTAGTTTTTACACTTTATATAGTTTGATACAACTGAGTGGCTCATTAGATCACTTCAGAGGGCAGTTAAGAGTCAACACATTGCTGTAGGTCTAGAGTCACATGCAGGCCAGACTAAGTAAGGACGGAAGATTTCTTTCCCTAAAGAATGTGTGCATGAACCAGATGGGTTTTTACAACATGTGACAATAGTTTCATTTATGGGGGACTAGCTTCTAATTCCAGATTTAGTAACAGAGTTTAAATTCCACCATCTGCCACAGTGGGATATGAACGAACATCCCCAAAGCAGTGGCCTGGTGGTTTGAATTACAAGCCCAGTGACCTGACCACACCACAAGCTTGCCAATAGAGCTTTGACTCTTGGCTAGGCTGTAGGTGTGCCAGGGGCAGCAATTCTCTGGTCTCTTGTCCAAATGTCTGGTCTTTCCAGTGTGAGCACACGGTATTAGGTTGTATCTAACCATGAGGTTATCTTAACCCAAGCCCGGTTCTGCCTTTTTTTTTTGTTTGTTTGGCAGCAGGGGCACCTACATTTGCTGGTTTCTGTCTTGTCTCTTCATTGTAACCTCTTCCCACTTTTTTGCTCCCCCACCCCCACCACCCATCAAAACACGCCCCCAGCCAAATCTAACACCACCATCCCAGATAGAAGATTAATATCTTCAACCCCAAACCAGAGGTGGAACAAGAAAGCTCGCTCATTGTCCAGCTCTGTAAAAAGGAAGAGTTGTATTGATATAGCCCTCCATCAAAATCCCAACATCCCAAAATGCTTCATGGGCACCAAAGTACTTTTCGCTGTATTACTGCTGTCGGTGTGGGGATAGGGATAGGGATGAGTTGAATGGTGCTCCCACTAATGGCCACTATCTGTTTTATTGCTGTTGAGTTGAACAATGATTATTGACAACAGGAAGCTGAGAAGACATCCACTGCTGTTCAGAACCGTCATGTGGGATCATTTGTGCGCATATGAGTAAGCAGGTGGGCCTCTGGATTAACGTCCCATCTGAAAGGCTGCTCCTCTGACCGTGTAGCACCCCCCCCTCCTCAGTGCTGCGCTAGAAGCTAGACTTAGTATCTTAGTGTGCAGAAGAGGCCCTTTGGCCCATCAAGTCTGTACCGACACATGAGAAACATCTGACTTGCACTGCAATCCCACTTACTTGCACTTGAACCCACAGCCTTGAATGGAATGACATGCCCAGTGCTCATCCAGGTACTTTGTGAAGGATGTGAGGCAACTCACTTCTCCCACCCTCCCTGGCAAAGCGTTCCAGACCGTCACCACCCCCTGGGTAAAAGTATTTCCCTCACGTGCCCCAACGCCCCCCACCCCAGACTTCAGCTTAAATCCATGTCCCCTCGTGACTGACCCTTCACCTAAGGGGAACAGCTGCTCCTTCTCCACTCTGTCCATGCCCCTCCTGACCTTGTACGCCTCAATCAGATCTACCCTCCGTTTCTCTGTTCCAACAGAAACCAAACAAACTTATCCAACCTTTCCTCATAGCTTAAATTTCTCCATCCCGGGCAACATCCTGGTGAATCTCTTTTGCACTCCCTCTGATGCAATCCCATCCTTCCTACAGTGTGGCAACCAGAACTGTGCGCAGTACTCTAGCTGTGGTCTCCCTGAAGTTCTATACAATGCCAACATGACTTGCCTGCTTTTGTAATCTGTGCCTCGATCGATAAAGGCAAGTGTTCCGTATGCCTATTCTCATCACCCTACTAACATCCCCCTCCGTCTTCAGAGATCTGTGGACAAGCACACCAAGGCCCCTTTGTTCCAAAGAATTCCTAGTGTCATGCCATTTGCTGAATACTTTCTTGTCAAATTACTCCCTTCCAAAAGTGCGTCACCTCTCTTTTTTTTTCAGGATTGAATGCCACCCACCACTTATCTGCCCATTTGACCATCCTGTCTGTCATCATATAGCTCAAGACACTCAGCATCGCTATTAACCGCCTGACCAATCTTTGTGTCACCTGCAGAGTTACTAATCCAATCCCCACACAGTCATCTATGCTATTTATACAAATGACAAGTAATAAGGAGACCAGCACAGACTGCTGTGGTACACCACTGGACCCTGGCTTCCAGTCACTAACTCAACCTCTGGCTCAGTTGTCACAGACAGACAATTTTGAATCCACTTTCTTGGGCGGGATTTGAACCCAGAATTGTCTGACTGAGGCACATGCTTCAGATGACCCCCCTCAAATAGAAAAGCATTTGCCATTTCTGTGCTGCAGGTTGCCCACAAGACAGATTTTCTCCAATACCAATCTCTCTCTCTTTTGGCTGTTGTTTCCGGGAGGAGATTTTGAGCTGGCTCTCAGTCAGTCGCTTGTTGATGTGGTTCGTGGGGTGTCTCTCGCCTGAGCGATTCGCACTCGGCGGTTCCCACGGTGTTTACACGTTAAACAGATGATGTTCGTCCTCTTGCAGCATAACCGGAGGAAGATTGGGATGGATATCAACGTGACAGGAGTGTGGGAACACAATGTGACTGGGGAAGGAGTGACGGTGGTCGTTGTTGATGATGGTGTTGAATACACGGTCCAGGACATACAAGCAAACTACGTAAGTTCTTGCTCACTCCGGGGAGCTGGATAATTTGTAGGAGAGAGTAGGTGATGATGGGGCTGTACGGCCACGCGATGGTAATCTCCAACAAGAGAGAATCTAACCATCACCCCTTCACGTTTTAGTAGCATCGCTAACACTGAATCCTCCAGAGTCAATGTCCTGGGGGCTACCATTGACCAGATACTGAACTGAGTGTGGCTACAAGAGCAGGTCAGAAGCTAGGAATTCTGCAGTGAGTAACTCACCTCCTGACTCCCCAAAGCCTGGCCACCATCTACATGGCACAAGCCAGGAGTGTGAAGGAATACTCCCCACTTGCCCTGGATGAGTGCAGCCCCAACAGCACTGGGAGCTTGGCACCATCCAACCCCGACTTGACTGGCACTACATTCCCAAGCATGCACTCCCTCCCTTACCAATGCACAGGGACAGCAGTGTGTACCATCAACAGGTGGTTAGTGGGTGTGGGACATTGCAGCAATAGCATATGCCCATCCTGCACGCCAATACTCAACAGGTACAGAGAGTCTTTGTTGTCACCAACAAAAAGATGATAGTCGCAGGTCATGCAGCACAGGACAACTACACAAAAGCTTTTATAAAAATGGCCACTTTTTCTGAAGAAGGGTCTAGGCCCGAAACGTCAGCCTTCCTGCTCCTCTGATGCTGCTTGGCCTGCTGTGTTCATCCAGCTCTACACCTTGTTATCTCACACTTGTTTTATGTGTGTGTTTTGCGTTGTGCAACCTGAGAGAGGGACAAGGGTCATTGTGCAGACTGTTCTGGGCACAAATGAGTCACCGAGATGGCAAGCTTACCGTCCAATGTCCCAACTCCACAATGACCTCTTTTTAAACCATCAGTGTCCTCGTCTTGTCTTTTGTTCGTTCGCCGTGACCGTCTCAGGCTCAGTGGGTAGCACACTTGCCTTGAAGCCAGAAGATTGAGAGTTCCGGTCGCGCTCTAGAGACGCTCCCTCTGGACAAAAGGGAACCTGAAACAGAAACAGAAACAGAAACAGCAGCCGTACTGAGAGTGCCACACTCTCAAAGGAGCTGTCTCCTGATGTAACATTTTCTGACTGAGGGTTTAAGGGTAGACTGATTTTGGTTGGGAGCTCTTCAGTCTCCTGACCTATGTTTATATCTCAACTAATATCACTAAACCAGGTTATCCTGTCATAGTCACATGGCTGTTTGCGGGAGCTTGCTGTGCACAGGTGTGATTCCCACTTGGCAACCGAGACTACACTTTGTAAAGTCGGTTCGCTCAAAGCCAAACACTTTTGGATGTCCAGAGATCATGAAAGGTGCAATTTTTCTTGTTTTTAAAAAAAAAAAGGATGTAATTAAGCCAAACGTTGATGCCAGATTTTTTTGTTCAATTTGACAGTCTCCAGAGGGCAGCTACGACCTGAACTCCAACGATCCAGATCCTATGCCACATCCTGATGAGCACAGTGATAATCATCATGGGACTCGATGTGCTGGGGAAATTGCTGCAGCCCCAAACAATTTCTGTGCTGTTGGCGTGGCTTTTGGGAGCCGTATCGCAGGTAGCTTGGTGTTTTTTTTTTTTTGTTTGAAAAAATAATAAATGTTTGAGTGATAGATATGACTGCTACTGTCTCCAGCAGATCAGTTTTTTTCTCTTTTTTTTTTCATTTCTTCCTTCCTTCCCTCTGTGAGCTAAATGCCCATCCTGCGTTGTGCCTCGGAGTCTGGTCCCTCTGAGCTGCTTTCATGCATCATCAGAAAAGCCAAGGCAGTGAGTGTGAGAGATTTAGCTTGGTCTTCGCTCTGTCGGCCCTGCCCCACTTCAGTCTGACTGAGAACCTGGTAGGGATATTATAGAGTTGTACAGCATGGAAACAGACCCTTCAAGTCCAACTCATCTGTGCCAGCCAGATTGAATAGTGGAGCAGGTGTGATGGGCCAGATGACCTACTCTTGGTTACGGTATTTCTATTAAGCACCAATAGTGTCAAAGAATGGACACTTATGGGTTTGATTTCAATTACAAGTGAATGCACTTTGAGCTGGTTAAAAATCAGGCCCTTACAAAGGTTTGCAAAGAAGGCACCTCCAAATTCCCCAATTTCAACTAAAGGTACTACCAGAAAGCACTAAAACACAGGCAAACTCTTTCCCAGAGAAGGGAAAAAGTGAATACGGCAGAAACCTCCTGGGAAATGGAGAGCATCAAGTTCGTATTATCTAGGGAAATAAGTAGGGTTTACTCTCGCCTGATCTGCCGATTCAATGCAGATAGGTCTCGGCAATCTTTGGGAAATCAAAGTTTATTACAACGTTCACAGCTTGGATATCAATACCACGAGTGAACAGAATTGAGTTAATAGCATTGCTGTGACTCAACCCAGCCAGCTTGCTAACATAAAGGACTGCAGATGCTGGAAACAAACGCAAACAGAAATTGCTAGAGAAACACAGCGGGTCAGTGGAGAGAGAAACATTTTGAATGCAGTTCTAAACAAGTCACTGGTCTCGCTGTGAACTCTGGCTCTCTCTTTATGGATGCTGCCAGACCTGCTGACTTTTATTTTTTCCAGCAATTTGTTTTTGTCTGTTTCAGCCAGATCACTACTTGGTGCACTGTAAGCTGTGGAAGGAATTTGAAACGAGGGGGCTGTTTACTTTCCTTAAATATTGCTTTGATGAACAATTTCCCCCCCTCACACCCAGTGCGTTCACCCGTTGAACTGCACACTCACTACAGAAGCTGGTTAGTTCCCTACCTGGCTTCTATCGAGCAAAATTACTAATCACTTGGAAAAGTGTGGACAATAAATGCAGCAAATTGATAATGGTAAAGTGTGCTTGATTTATTCGATTGCTTTTAATGCTGTATCAAAGAGGGCAGAGTGTTTGGGATCTGGATTTTGCCCCACAATTAATTTGATGATGAAATTCGGGTCAAAGGAACAGTGACTTGGATACAAAACTGGCTAAGTGACAGGAAGCAAATTGAGCTTTCAGATGGAGAGACATGTGCAGTGATGTTGTCTATACGAATGCCTGCTCCTGCTCCTATTTATTATGATCTTCTGCTTGCTAGGAGTTGGCATGGGAGCCACCGGTTAATATAGCAGACTGTGTGGGTTCGACGTTCTGGGGTCGCAGTGAATGTTGGGTTGAGTTGGGTTATAAAGCAGTCTTAAAGTTATAAGTGATGGATCTGGAGACAGTCGGAGAGGACTGTGACCGAGCGATGAGAGAGTGCAGTTCTCCAGCACAGACAGACTTCCGAGAAGAGTGTGCGATGGTCACGTGTTCAGGCTGCAGAATGAATAAGAATATAAGTGACGACAATGGGGAGCTGTTGTGGTAGTGTCCTTGCCTCTGGGCCTGGAGACCAGGGTACAAACCCTACCTGCTCCAGAGGTGTGTCGTAACACTGATTCAAAATATCTGTAAACAACAACTTGCATTTATAAGGCAAGCAAATGTATGAATTGGGAACAGGAACAAAGCATTCAGTCCCTCCGGCCATTCAATAAGATCATGGCTGATCTGGTTGTGGCATCTATTCTGCTCTGCCATCTACCCCCTGATAACGTGTCTCTCTCTAATTAATCAAAAAAAAGTCATCTACCTTTTGCTTTAAAGTGTTCAACATCCCCCATTTCCACCAATCTCTGGAGGAGACCATTCCAAAGAGTTGGGACTCTTTTGAGAGCAAAAATTTATTTAACCTCTGCCTGAAATGTGAGACCTTTTATGTTAAAACTGTGTCCCCTAGTTCTACTCTCCCACAAGGGAGGCAAGATCCTTTCAACATTCACTCGCTGACATGACAAAGACAACACTGACCAACCCCCACCTTTACCAGCCCCGCCTCCTTGACCTGTCCATCTCCTCTCCACCTATCTGCTCCTTTATCCATCTTCCATCCGCCTCCCCCCTCTCTCTATTTATTTCAGAATCCCCTTCCCCTCCCCCATTTCTGAAGAAGGGTCCAGACCCGAAACGTCAGCCTTCCTGCTCCTCTGCTGCTTGGCCTGCTGTGTTCATCCAGCTCTACACCTTGTTAACTGTTTCATGAATCCTAGCAATCATTAATTTGAAATTGAAAGGGTTTGAGAGAAATCTCGTTCTTGTGAAACTGGAAATTCAGGACAATTTGCCACAAGGAGTAGCTGAGGTAGAAATATTTTTAAGTGAAGATAAAGTTTGAACCAGAGCAATCAGTTAGCTGGAAATGTCAATGTTATTCCAGTAAAACACCATGGATGATTTTTTTTCGATACATAAATTGTCCAGGAGGTGGTGCTATTTGCTGCAAAATCAGCAGGAAGCCACAGAGATAGTAGGAACTGTAGATGCTGGAGAATCTGAG